GGAAAGAAATATAGTAGTCGTATATCTTATGTCATCTCTTAAATCAACTTTTTATAAGACAAAATAAAAGTATCGATTTTTCTTTCTCTTTTCTTTTATTAGATTTTGATATTGAGAAAATTTCTTAGGGTCTCTTTGTATTAGTTCCTAAAAAAACTTTCTTTAAGGGTTTTTCTTTATTTTACTTTTTCTCCAAAAGTTTTATTTGCAAGAAAAAAAACGCCCGAATAATACAAACGGTTACAAACAGAGGTAAGAATATTTGAAGCGGTAAGAAATCTACTTCAAGACAGTGATACTTTAGATTTCTTTGTCTTGCTTTTTATTTTAATATTATATTATATTATATTATATTATATTATATTATATTGTATTGTATTGTATTGTATTGTATTGTATTGTGTTGTGTTGTGTTGTGTTGTGTTGTGTTGTGTTGTGTTGTGTTGTGTTGTGTTGTATTGTATTGTATTGTATTGTATTGTATTGTATTGTATTGNAGACTGAATAGTGAACTAAATAAAAGGTAATTTGTTGAATATTATATTATATTATATTATATTATATTATATTATATCATATTGCACAACCTATGTTAGTCAGGAGAAGCTCAGTATTAGTTTAAGCTATAGTTGTTTGATTTTTGATGAATGAGAAGTTAATATCGCACTTGGAGACAACAATTGGTAAAAACAATTTTTTTCTTAACGATTGGTAAACTACAATCCTAATCGATAAGTCAAGAATTGAATTTGTCGCTTTTTTTTGTTGATAATGTTTAGTCATGCCGCTTTTTAATATGATATTTTTTTACCGAAATTTCCAAAGAAAGGAATTAATAACCTAACTGCTTCCTTATTATCAGCCAAAGAAAGTATGTGAAAAAAATTGATGGCCAAACTTAACTACTTTTCCGGATTATAAAATGTAAAACTATGGTGCAATGCCTCTCCGAATATGACGCAGAGCAACCCAAGAAAATGTGTGATAAAATACTTTATACCGCGTTTTAACACCAAATCAAGCAAATTATATACAATTTAAAGAGTGCAATTTAAATCTAAACAATAAAAATTTAATAATCTTATACTAAACTCGCGCTTCTGCACACTACAAGAATAATTTTTATTTCCTAAATCACTAATGTTAGTCCGCTTTGAATGTAAAAAAGTCAACTGTTAAATTGCAGAAATCAGCTATTTTGCATATTTTGTAATTAAGATTCATATTACGCTGTATAACAAACATATTACACATTACATTACAGTTTTTACAGTGTGATACATAGTACACTACAGTTTTTACACTGTGTATATTATTTATACTACACTGTAAAAACTTTAGTGTAATATTTCTCCCAATATCATGTTGAACAGCCCAAATCATTGTGTGAATAAAAATTTTATTCTTTATTAACACCAAATAGATTCTTCAGATACAATTTAAAGTGTGTTATTTAAATCTAAACACTTAAAATTGAATAATCTGGCATCAAACTTTCACTTTTTTACATCATACGAGAATTATTTCCACTTCCCAAAACATCAATGTTGGCGAGTTTTAAATACATGAGAACAGCATGTGGAATACCTCAAGTAGTTTGCTTACAATCTGGAATAAGCTGGAGAGAGTTTTTGTTTCTTTCAACTGTGATATTCATCAGCAGAATCGAAAATTTGCCATTAAATATGTTTTTAGTTGTGCAATAAAGAAAATTATATTTTGATTTTAAAATCTCAGAGAATTGTTTTATATTATCCTATAATATAATACAGATATCAGATATAAGATTTTCAATTATTTTTTGTGTAATTTATATCTACCAATGAGGATATTGTACGTCAGCACTGTGGTTGATGCGAGCAGTGTGCGAATTCGTAGCGACCTACCCATTGCTGAGATTTGAACCCGGTTCTTTTCATTAGATCATGAAGGCTCTATCCCCTGAGCCATCCATGGGCTCTAAACTAGACTCTTAAGGTGACCAGCCCTAAGTTTAGTCCTAAATTAGACTTGTCTGAACAAGTCTTAGACAGGAGTACTGCAATGACAGTTCAGGGGACTCAGCGGCACCTCAGTCATGTTTGGGTTGGGTCAAAAAATTTATACTACTTGTAAACGTCAGCACAAAACCGTCTGATGGGAATGGCACCAAAATGTCAGCAATGGCTAAATATATTTCCCCCTTTCAATCAATGCGAATGTAAGAGACAAATTCCACTCAGATATAAGTTTGTTTTCTTTCTTTTTCTCATTTTCTTAAGAAAACAAAAATTCTCAACTATGTTCTCCACTCTTTAAACTAGACAAAAAAAATTATTAAAAACATCCTGTTTAAAATAAACATTTATAGAATGAAGCTGCTGCCTAATTATTACGAAATTTGCAAAAAAATATAATGTATTCTCCTTCCACTCATATCCATGAGTAAGTCCAACTCTGTAAACGTAAATTGTAACTGGCATATGTCTCAATATATTTGTAAGGCACATTAAAAGTTGACGGAATATTTCAATCGTTAAAAACTATTACAAAATTCATGTAGGTATTCATCTAAAATGATTTTTAATACAATATAATATTTAAATAATAAATAAAACATGTCAAGGATTTTGTATAGAAAAATGTCTAACGCTATTGGTGTATGTGATAGTTTTATGTTTTCAAATTTTTCGTTCTTTCTTGTAAACAGCACCATTTTCGAATTATTTTTTATAGGAATAATATTAAATATCAATATAAAAAGAATGTCTTTATTTTGACAAGAGCTGTAAGTTGGCAAAAGGAGAAGATACATATTTTTTGACCTGAATACGAATGAGAAAAAAAGAAGGAAAAAATAAGGAATGGAGGAAAAAAGGGAAGAAAAAAAGAAAGTGATGGGACAAAAAGAAGAATCCATATTATTATCAATATGTAAAAAGGACGTATAAGGAAAACAAATATTTTTCGAACACGTCATTGATTTTTACGTAATTTTGATTTATTTTTGTATTAATATTTTGGCTAAACAGAGCCCATTTGAATCCTTCATAAATAAAGCATTTGAAGTATTTATATTTTATTCCGAAATTTTACGTTATAAATTACGTTTATAATAGCTGTGGAAAAATGGATATTTAAATGTGTTAGGAAAATAAATATTCCCGAAAAACAATTTAAAATTATGAAGAATATATTTTCTATTCTATATGCTCAAATTGCAATATTTTATTAAATTAAACTGTAACTGAAGAAAAATTTATTTACATTTTTTAGATTTCCTTTTTTTACAATTTATAATTATTTTTAATGTAATATTATTCCATAATACCTTCCCGGAAAAATGAATCTGGTAAATTTACTGTACCACATGGTAATGACATTTCTGGTAACAAATCGGGTTTTCAAAACTATACCATTTTTAAATAAAATAATATAATTCTTGTTACCACTCATTTAGTAAAAATATAAGAATAAAAAGCAAATTTAACCGAATAAGTGGTTTTTATACCATGCTTTAAGGTATCGGGATAAAATTAATAAATTTTATCACATATTGTAAAACCATATTTTGTTGCTAGCTTTACCAAAATTATTACCAAAGTAATTCAGTAAAAATTTCCGAGCTTTTTCGTGCTCCATAAACCCTAAAACGCTCTTAATTTGACCATATTCTAGTAGTTTTGACTATATTTTTTCTCATTCTAGTAAACATTATTTGTAAATAGAATTCCATAAGTTTTAAATAATTGTAATTAATTAGTTGTTAGGTATGATATACAAATACATATGCAAATACAAATACAATTATAATACATACGAGTCCAATTTCAATATAATCAATTATCAAAGTTTAATAACGAGTGCCATGCAAAACATGAACTTTTGTAAGTAATTATTCATAAACATGTTCGATACAAACTAGGATGATAGAAAATAATGCATGATTGTTTCGGATAAAGTATATATGAGAACTATAACAAAGCTAATTCTGATGATTTTGGAACTTAATATTTTAACTGTTAGAATTGGATAATATATTGATTGACTATTTGAGTAATGCATAATTTATTAGAAACCTGTATTCGGATAATAGACTATTCAATTTTCGAAAAAGTTATGTTAATTAATATTTCATAACTTTCTGCATGTAGAAAAAGAGCTCTCGTAAAATTACCGTACTCTAAGATAGTGATATTTCTGGTAAAAAAATCATAATTCTGGTTTATAAAACATGAAAATATACGGTATTTCAACCAATCATTTGATATTTTTTTGCTTATATGGTAACAGTTTACCGGAAATTCTGGATTTGAAAACTATAGTTCTTATAACCTCGCGTTTAGTAAAAAATACACAACTGAAAAGTACCGAATAAATAGTTTTTATGCCCCGTTCTAAGGTGTCATGATAAAATTACCAAATTTTATATCAGATTATAGAACCATATTTTGTTGTTAATTTCCCCCAAACCATTCGCAAAGCGTTTCGGTAAAAATTACAATGCTTTTTGGTGATCCCTTAGAGGCAGAAACAGGATAAATTTTAATATCTTCTAGCATCATTTTCAGTCAATGTTTAACTGGGGTTTTTAGTAGCAAAAGTGAAGTTTTTTTTAAAAGAAACAAACATGTGATGAAAAAACATTTATTTTACTTTTACTCTGCTTTAGTATCGCAGCATTATCTACTCTCCAAATTTCTACATCTCTAAATTTTAAGTATGAGCTATTTAACACTCCATCGGGCGCGTTGATCTGACAGATACAGGTGTGTCAATATCTCTGCTTTTGTCCCCTAAAACATTTTCTTACGACCTTGACCTTATCAGTATCTGTCCATCTGGCCCCCTGCTACTTTGGAATGCAGTAGTGACCAGTTCGGTGTAGGAGTATTTCCTGTTTCTAAGCTTGTTTGAAATTTTGTATCTGTTAGATACACGCGCCCGATAACGTTTGTCTCGTGAAGCTACATGGAAGTATCGAGATTCCCTGAGCGTTTTTGATTTATCTTTTTCCTACGATGAGTGCTAAACGCTTTTTAGATTTGAAAAATCAGAAAGACCTAGAGCTAGTTCATAGTATTCTATTTAGTGATGGAAATGAGGAATTAAATGCTGAAGAATTTGATGAAAGTGATGCTGACGAAGAAGATATTTTAGAAACACGTGAAGTTGATTCTGATGGCAGTGAAAGTGATTATAATGACTCAGAACTCGATGATGATGCTAATAATGATGATTTTTATGTAGGAAAGGACAATAATACTAAATGGGCAAAACAGATCGGGAGAAAAAATGTGAAAGTTAGATCGCAGAATATTATCACGAAATTACCTGGAGTAATCGGAAGTGCGAAAGGTATAAAAACTATATATGGCTCTTGGAACTGTTTCTTTTCTGACGAAATATTGGAAATAATTGTAAAATGCACTAACAAATACATTTCTACAGTTTCTGATCTATATAGTAGAGAAAGAGATGCAAGACTAACAGATATTATTGAAATAAAAGCATTTATCGGTTTACTTCTATTAGCTGGTGTTTTGCGAAGTAATCGGCAAATTTTGGAAGAACTGTGGTCTACTGATGGAATGGGTATTGAGATGTTTAGAACGGTAATGAGTCTAAAACGATTTAAATTTCTTTTAAGATGCTGTAGATTCGATGATAAAGAGACGAGGAACGAGAGAAGAAAAACAGATAAATTAGCACCTATAAGAGAAATGTTTGAGAAATTTGTGGAAAAATGTAATAGTAATTATTGTGTGGGTCAAAATGTTACGATAGATGAGAAATTAGAAGGCTTTAGAGGAAGATGCCCTTTCCGCCAATACATTCCATCAAAACCAAACAAATATGGCATTAAAATATTCGCAGCAGTTGATGCTAAAACTCTGTACACTGTAAATTTAGAAATTTATGCCGGAAAACAGCCCGAAGGACCATTTAGTGTCAGTAATTCCCCACTAGATGTTGTTCTGCGATTATTGGAACCAATTTTCAACAGTGGTCGCAATGTAACAGCAGATAATTGGTTTACCTCTATTGATCTTATAAAAGCCCTAAAAGATAAGAAACTTTCTTACGTAGGAACAATAAGGAAGAATAAAAAAGAAATACCCCCCTGTTTTGTGACATCAAGAGGAAAAGAATTATATTCAAGCGTATTTGGTTTTTCTAAAAACAGCACTTTAGTTTCATACGTACCGAAAAAAGGCAAGAATGTTTTACTTGCATCAAGTATGCACTTTGATGATGCTATAGATGCAGACACTGGAGAGAAAAAAAAGCCAGAGATCATCACATTTTACAATGATACAAAATATGGTGTTGATGCTCTAGATAAGATGTGTGGAACTTATAATTGCGCTCGCAATACAAGAAGATGGCCGATGGTAATTTTTTATTCAATGCTAAATATTTCAGCTATAAATGGCCTAATTGTATTTTTGGGAAATCAGAATTCTGTTAAGAACAGGAGAGAGTATTTGAAAATACTGGTGCAAGAATTAGTCAAAGAAGAAGTTACTAGGCGCATGACTAAACCCAATTTATCTAATGATTTGAAAATAAAACTTCAAACCTACAGACCAACTGCTGAAGAAGGAAAAAATGCAAACGATTCCAGGACCCAAAATAAACGTAAAAGGTGTTCTACATGCCAATCCAATAAGAAAAGTAGATTGACTCAATATTCCTGCTTAAAATGTAAAGAATATTTTTGTTTGGAACATGCAGTAATGTTGTGTCAAAAATGTTCAAATGAAACTTGAACTTAAATTTTGAATCGGATTCAATTATAATAACTGATTTAATTTGTCACTTTTATATTACGTATTATTTGTGCATAACTGCCCTTTTTATATTTTTTCAACTGTAATAACATGTTTAATTAAATGTTTTGCAAAGCAATTATCTTTTGTAATAGCGTTTTTGATTAATAAATAAAAATTATTATTAAAAATATTAAAAAATATGTAAAAATTAAAAAAATATATATTAAAAACTAATAAAAGGTCCGGGTGTAAAAGCCTGGACCTAAAAAGAGTAAAAATAGAAAATTTAAAGCAATACATATTAACAGAAAACACACAAAACAGCGATGTATCTGACAGATACATCGCGCCCGATGCCGTAAGTTTCGAGACGCGCCCGACGGAGTGTTAATATTGTTTAGTATTGTCCTCGTTGGAGAGATAAACACATTTGCTTAATGAGTTATTTATTCATTTATTTTATTTTCTTATTTTATTTTTTGATTTCAAGCGAATCTATCTTGGTGAAATTTATATTTCCATAATCCAGTTATTTGTATACTTCATTATTTATTCCGATCATCAAAATCTTAATAGCATATTATATTTTGCATATCGTATATACCTATGAACACCAAGCATAGTTACAGAATTGTCTATTATACATGCCTTGTTGTTTTGCCACTCTTAACAGTTCCGAAAAATCAATTCGTTGCCTTATAGTAATACTCCTTAATTAAGATTGCATTGTTCGCATTCTTTCGCGCTTACCACACATAAGCCTTATTTTTCTTTTTAATATCTTTATGCACGCATAACTCTTTTTGCTACCCATATGTAAGTTTTATTCTAATTATTTTAAACTATTAAGCTTTAAAAATATGATTTTTTGGTTAGGAAAACGAAAAGTTTTCTGTCAGTACATTTAGAAATTCTATCATGTTTAAAGAGACTTCTTAAACGTTGCAAAATTTAATATAAGCGTTAAATTATCTTAAAGTATATTTTTGAAGTCGGAAATCAAGTAAATCATTGTAATTTCTTTATCAGAAAAGTTTCAGTTATAACATGCCAAAATAAATAAAAATCAAAATTTCAAAGTATTTTCTATTTATTGTATTTATTCCGGTTGTACAAAACCATTTGAAAAGAAAGCATTTATACGAGTTTTTCTCTATAGTTTCTTACTGAATTAAGTTAATACATTTACTAAGTTAAATACATTTTTTATTTCCCGATCTAAATCAAACGAGGTGCTTTTTTGGAGAGTGAAATATCATTTTCAAATTTTCTTTAAAAATTTAAGTTTTAATCTTAGTTTACATGATTTGTTACTTTCTTTTAGCTAATTTTCTCTCAGAAGGTATCTTTTTCAGTATTCAAATACTTGTGCTAAATAAAGTGGCTCTAGGAGAAATCATTTTTAAAAATTGCTTTACATTTTAAACTGATTATTGTAATTCTAAAAATTCTGTTTTACTAAAAAATTTATGTTTTTCTTTTTCTTACGAAATGTTTTCTAACATTAAAGTTTTTCCTAAAAAAAGAAAATAAAAGGCACAAAATGAAAGGAGAGTGAAATTTTTTTTTTCGAATAAAATTTCTTCCCTTGAAGAGCAATAAGTTTTGACAAAGAAATAGTGTTTATAGTTTTTCTCAATGAAGTCTTAACTAAACCAAATTGAATTTCTTCAAAGAAACATTTTTAAATTAAGTTAATTTGAAAGAAGGTGCTCTTAAATTAAGTGAATTCTTATTCGCACTCTTCTAAACGTCCAAAAATACTTTATAATTTTGTTTCATTATTTCTTTCTTCATCGTTCAATGAATTCTAAATTTGCATATAAATTATTCATTTAAACTCGCAGTCGAATTAAAATCAAAATTTTAAAAAAACCTATTTATTTATTTAAATTAATGTTAACTATAATTTAACGACATTATTGAAACTCTATAGCTTTTATAGTTAATATAATGAGTGAATTAAGTAAGTAAAACGGTACTTTTTTGGTTTAAACAACTCTTATATCCAGCATACAAATATAGAATGCTGCATACATTTATGACTTTCTGGTGAAGAAATAAATAGCACATTTTTAATGAAATACGAACTTTTTTTAGTTATTAAAAAAGATGAATATAAAAAAATAAATATATATTTTTTTTAGCAAATAATACATTTTTAACTGTATACATTTTCCTACATAGTTTACTTTTACTTAGAAAATGATGTGATGCATAAATATAAAAATAAATAAATAGATCACATTTAACTAAATATTCTACCTCATGAACTTTTACTTTTATCTTATATTTACCTAAAAGTTTGACATATGGCTATAAATAAGCAAACAAGTTATGTGAAAATAAACCCATTTTGTTTCAGGTTTACACCAAATCGAGCTCTCAGATATAACTCAAGGTATGTAATTTTATTATGTTATTTTATTTTTTAATGGCTTTAAACAAAGGACCCAATTCGAAGTTTACAACTATCGATTAACTGTTAACTTACTTCGTAACCTTGTAATTTTGAACCCAACTCAGACGACTGGAGAACTCCTGGACCAAGAGATTCAGAGTTCTCTAGTCGTCTGAGTGTAGAATATTTAGTTTAGAAAGGTGATCTATTTATTCATTTTTAGATTCATGCATCACATCAATAAGAGATTCGAATCTCAGCCACCTCAGGGATTCGAATCTCTATTACCTCATCAGCTTGATCTAACGGTATATTATGATCTAAGGCATAATCTAACGGTATATTAAAGGTATAATACTTATAATGTAATAAGCTTACACCAAACACCAGCCCAATCACACCAAACGAGAATAATTTTTATTTCTAATAACGCCAATGTTGGCGAGCTTTGAATATCGTCTACAAACTGCTTACATTTGAATACAAGCTGGAGTGTGTAAGTTATTCGACCCTGTTACGCCTTAACCAAAACAAAAGGTTGACGTTAAATTGTGCAATGGTTGTTTTTGGCTGTTTAATAAGAATAGTTATATTTTAATATGAACTATATTATATTTTAATATGAACTATGTGAACTATATTAATGCTATTATAACATATAATTTCTCTTCGCTTCTGTTCTGTTAAGCCTAGCTTGAACTTTATTTAATTTACTCTCGTACCTCTGATTTAAAATAGTTGTTAATTTACTAAGTGCATATTTTATTTGCAAACTAGTTTCATTTTAAGAATAAGTGTATATATGCATTCTAAATTAATGATTCTATTGAATAAAAAAAAATTAATGATTCTATTGATGGTTTACATCAAGAAGGGTAAAAATATTTTTGGTGTATTAGAACACTTAATAGAGCACCACTCAGGTGTAAAGTAGTTGAGATTATTTTTGATGTTAAGATGCGTGTAAATTGTCTCAAATAATAAATATGTGTTTAATATAGAAAAAATAAATTTCAACCATCTCGATCCGATATTTTTTTCTCACAATGGCGTGAAAAAGCTCATATACATTACACTATAAAAAGCGATCATTCACTCTTTAAAGTTTGTATTTAAATCCTAGCACCATTAATCAATACAGATTAACTAATCTGCAACTCGTTGGTGAAAAAGTCACATTTTCAGAAGCACAGTAAATTTGGCAAATGATTATTGTATATTTAAACTATCCAACTAGATCTTGTGTAAAATTCGGTCGGGCATATTTTGTACATAAAAAATGCCCTTGACAAAGTTTAAAGGCAACTAACTGTGCAATTTCGAGATATTGAGAGAATAAGGTGGCCAAGAGAGCAATTGTTTACAGGAAGTGTACTGAAACTTTTCTCATCGGATTGAATAAACAAACTGCAAATAGCAAAAAAAAGTCTTGCAAAATAACTATACTTAGACGGTAAAGGCATTTCTAGTGAAGGAAATCACAATCCTAAAAATTAAGTATGTGCGATTTAAACTATTCATATGGTAGTTTTACCTTTCGTTGTTGTTATTTTTTACCGAAAATTCTGCTTTCCAAAAATATAGTTTTTATTACAATAAATTTAGTAGCAAATACAAATCCCAAAAGTAAATTAAACCAAATAATTGGTTTTTATACCATGCTCTAAAGTATCACAATTAATTCAGAATTATCAATCATTTCTGATTTATTTGGTAATTTTAACCTTTTGATGTCTTTTCCTCTAACCGGAAAGAAGAGTAATTAGCTGTTTACAAAATGGCAGGTTATTTAAAATGGCAGGTTATATAAATAGTTGATGGGAGTTAGATGAATGTTAAGTATTTCAAATTTTAGAATAATTTCTCAATTATAATAAAGAGAAAATTTTGCGGAATTAACTTGGGATTCGAACCCCCGTTCTGTCGATCGACAGATTAGCTCTCTCAGCTATAATGTGTTCCCATCTACAAGGAGCTAAGTTGCTTCATTAGGTGGGTCTAGTTGGTGCCATGAAATTCTGGTTGCTTAACAGTATGAGATGAAAGCTGTTAATAGACGATTTTTCTCACAGTTAACAGTTTGAACCCCTTCTAATTTTGGGTTATTTGACTGCTTTGTTCGAATATGGTAAAATAACTATTAAATGAATTGCCATTTAACCTTTTTTACTCCCTAAAAGTAACATTAACAATATTGTGTTGCAAAAACTTCTTTTGGATAATGCTTTACAAATATTATTCATAGACCAAATATACTTGTTTTATTTGAAATATTTAGATGTATTACAAGTATCTTTAAAAGTGGGCATAACACAAAGTAAAACGAATTAGAACTTTACAGAAGTTTTAAGAATAAAACATATAAAAATATGCAAAATTAAAATTGATTCCATACTTAAAAAGTATAATTAAGATTCATGGCAATTATTAAAGATAATTTTGAGCTCATAAGTACCGTGGTATTATTACATTTGCTAAGTGTTCTGAATTAATCATTATAGATATTATTTCATGTTATACCATCCTCTAGCAATAAAGTCAAAGAGCTCATTTTAATTTTAAAAGCATCTACGCAAGTTGCATAAAACTGTACGCT